TAGCCGCTGCTTACTCGTGACAAGGTTTTCGTTTATGAAATTAAGTAGACGAAAAGCCAGTGTCCGGGAGTGAGACAGAGTTCGTCCAGAGGAATCAGAAAACCTAAATTCCAAACAAGTGATGCATATGGGCTCCAGATCCTGAAGGAACAAATGGAATATGAGCCTGTTGTTACTCACCGAGTATTATGAGTCTGCATCTCCTGACATCGCTCCAGTTCATTGTTGGTTAGTCTTCCAGGTCAAAAGCTCGATTAGTAGCCACCAAAACTAACCACTGGCTTCTGTTCGGGCACTCAGACAGTGTCCCAGCCAACATAAAAATTCATTGATTTGTGTATCTCATATATACTCCTTTGTACTAATGATTATGTGTTTAAATATATAAAAGGTTGCCGCCACTTCTCCTTCAGAACCTGGAATAGTGTTCCATTCAACAGACGAGAGAAAAAATTGTGATTGTTAACTGAATTACACTGTTATTAATTATTTGATTGTGGTCGAGAAGACCTCACTGATACGTACTTTGTACATAAAGCATTTATCAGCACGTGCCACCACTCATTTTGGTCCGCAAAAAGATCACATTATAATGATAGCTTTAAGTACCATGCTTTACAGACTTTCCACCGGTTACATTCAGTCATTCAAACTGAGCAGAATAAAATTTGATGTCAGTTCACTAATTTCACTGCTTAAATTGTAAATCCAACTGAGAGTATCCTTTTTTCTATCTATGTCATCATTGATGGCTTAGTGTTCACAGGACCCAACTTTCAGTTACTAAGTCTTATATTCAAACTCCACTTCACCTACGTTGACTGTGTCAACCAAGAAGTACCAATAGGTGTCATAATTAGAGTATGGCTCATATCCAAGTAGCTGGTGAATAAATTCATTGATTAGTTCTTCGCTATGAATAATATCGTCTGAACTGCAGTCAGTGGGGGCATAGGCAAATACGACGAAGATGCAACGGCAAGTGTCCCTATCTGGCCGAGTCCTTACTGTCCCGTTTAGTCGGACAGTGCACAAGCGACTATCTACTGGGATCCAGTCTAGGAGAGCTAGTTCTGCCCTACGACTCCAATGCTATACCTACACCAGCGAAACCCCGGGAAGCAGAATCAGGACTTCAAATCCTAATCTTCTCCATTACCAGTAATACTTCTACTATCTCTACCATAATGAGATTTGAATTGACAATTGTGTCTCTGTGCTAACGTGCTATGCCAACATGAACGTACGACGTTCTACGTTGTAACTAACTAACTAACTAACTCACTCACTAATCTAAAATGTAAAAGCGACTCTTTTAAAGTGAATTAAAAATCCTACAGACCTAACTAATCCCAGTCTCATGATCAAGTGTGTACACATTCTTGAAAAGCTGAAAACTAGAATGAATCAACTATTTGTTTATTATTGATCTAATTCAAATATCTACTATTTTTTTTAAAAAAAAAATAGTCAATGACTGACTACTATTTGACTTCATTTTATTAAATTTCTAGAATTTAAGTTGACAAGTTATAATTATCATATATCTGTATATGCTAAGATGACTTAACAATCATCCTATAAAGATCTGGTTTATAACAGCTTATAGTATTTTCATTGAAATTAAAACTACTCTCTCTTTCTCTCTCTCTCTCTAAGGTCACCGCAATTTATCATAACAACGAGACATATTCATTGTTATTAGGATTAATTGAAAATTTGAAAGTGAACTAATAACTGATCAGTTTTCTTTGTTGAAAAAAAACACAGCTTATCACTGATTACTCGTGATGATTAATTTTACGAGTGTGAGTAGTATATATATATATATCAGCCAAGTATCAGCAATGAATAATAATATTATTTTTTTTTCAGATTAATATATTACTTATTGATTATGTCATCATGATATTGCATGACTCACTGAACTATTATTATAATCCAACAATCAGTTGTGATACAGAGAAATCACATTGGAAAGTTGTGATTCATTTTCAACATGCATGATATGATGACTGTTAATAATATTAATAATAAGTAGCTTAGTAAGGCTTAGTCATTGAAAAATAAACGCATTCATTGTATATGATGTATATGTTGAAATTTCTTATTCTAAAAGCATCGATCTGTAATGACCAATGTGATATTATAGATTTTCATAGTTTTGCGCCACTTCTGATTGGTACATTGAAAAAAAATAAAAACATGGGGAAAAAAGAAAACACACACACTTGTGAAACATTGATCAATAAGAGGTTAAACGAAGTAAACACAACACTTGTTGTTGTTGTTGTTGTTGTTGCTTTTTCTTTATGTGTACACTTCTGTGCTGCAAATTTGTGTTTTACATGTTACTGCAACACAACACATAGAAGCGAGTATGATTTCGTTAACTAGTTAAAAGATTATGTACATGAAAGAATTCTTATACTTGTGAAAACTTAACTTGTACTAGAAATGAAAGATCATTACTATTTCAATCAATTAGTATTTTTGTTTAGTCACATAGAATAAACATGACTTAAAACACGGCATGATAAATGAGTTGACATTCGTTTCTACTTAATAGAAATCTTCTGTTTATTGTTAATTAGAATATACATAGAAATTGTGAATCAATCATTGCTGGACCATTATTAGAAACCTGGAAGCACTGGACAGCCGTTTCGTCCTGGTGTGGGACTCATCAGTGAGTGTACACATCCACGACTCCCACTACTCTCAGAGATCAAACCCAGGACCTTCAATCTATCTCGTAAATGCTTAACCTTTAGATCGCTGAACCGGCATCTAAAAGTGTTAAGGTTGAACTGTGATCAATTTAAGGTTACGCGCAACCTCTGTGGTCCTGAAGTTAAGCGTTCACACGCTTGTGAGAAGCAGGAGTCGTGAGTGCGAACTGTCACTGATAAGTCCGATACAGGGACGAAACGAACGTCCAATGCTTCCAGGTGTTTGTAATGATAGTTGAACAAAGATTGATTGATGCTTTCAACAATAAACAACATTCTCCATAACTCTATAAATGAAAAATTTATTTCAGAATAAAATTTATTCACTGTTAAAAGTCAGTTGGATTGTTATACTTTTTGAATTATTATGATTAGTATTATAAGTTTTCAAATAAAAAAAGAATAGTTAATCCAAGTTTTATTTAATCTGATTATAAACTGTCGGTCGGTCGGATGCAACGTAGAACTTCGTACATAAGTACATCAGTTCATGTTGCCATACCACATCAGTGCTCCAACATGTAGTCTAGAACGAGGTTTCAAGAGACCAGGAATGACGTTTCGTGAACTCGCATCGTTTGCATTAGCGGTGCAGTCAGATAAGGGAATGTGAGTAGAGTTAGTTGTGGAGAGAAGAGAGGTACTAGGGGGTGTAGGAAGGATTTGATTTCGACCAATTTGGTCTCTCGTGCTGTTACGGGTATGAGGGCGGTTGTCACTTCCCGGCTGCCCACACCGTGGAAGGTTGTTTCTTGAGGGACCTGAAAAGGAAGATAGATTAGTGTTGGTCTTGGAGACCTGGGAGCGTGACCGCAGAATCCAACGGACAACTGCTTGAGGCCGGTCACGCACGACCTTTTTATGAAAGGATTTTTGGGTATTAGCTCCGCTCTTAAAGGCCTTTAGTGAGCACCCTTACCGACGGAGACGGAAATCCGTGAGGTAGGGTGAGGTGTGACATTTTTAGGGTCGACCTTTTCTAACCCTTCCTTCCTTGTGAGAAGGCAGCATCGCTGCAGATGCTGGTTATCCGAGGGAAACACCTTATTGCTGTCACACCCCTCTGCAGTCAGCAGTACGACTTCACCCTCAGACCTTGGGTAGCTGCTTTTAGTCTCATCGTTCTCCAATCGACCTGCCTGGCATGGTAGGACCTGCAGGAACATATAATCTAGCCAGTATAGCTCGGTTGGGTCATCACGATAGGCAAGCCCGACCACCACGTCATGGTAGCAGCTACGGTCGGGGATTATAAACTGTAAATTAAATTGATTTGTAAGTGATATATATATATATATATATATATCATTGTATCATGATCATTCATATCTATCAACCCAAACAAAATTAAAAATACATGAATTTGAACATTTGACAAGTTCAATTTTTTTTTAATGCTGATCACTTGTTTCAAACAGATTAATTGG